AAACGGATGCAGAACCCTAGCACGACACACCATATGCCGAAATGCAGAGGCTTTCTACGCATCCCCTCACAGATCTCCCTGTGTGAACTCTGCACAGCCAAGTCAGCGGATGCCAGAACACCTGCCGGTTTTAATACCTAATTAAGGATCTCCAAGAAGTGCTCCAAGCACTATTCTCTAAAACCAGATGTGCTGTCCATTAATTAAAATTGCTAACACCCAGCCTCTGTGGCCACCGAGACTATAACCGGGGAAATGTCTTGTTTTAAATATTCATAATTTACACACACACACACACACACACACAAGCTCCTAGCAACTGGGTTAGAATGTCCCAAGGCAAAATCAGGGAACGGTTTTGACAGCAATTCTCGGGGTCCCTTCCAAGCTGGCAGAACTGGGGAGATTGAACATATCCTGGCAACCCAATCCAGCAGATAGCTTTCTCGGATGTGCTTAAGTAAACATTGCTGTCACCGAGGCCTTCCGATGCTTAAGAGAGTCTGGGCGTTTAATCCACTCGCCTTCCTTCTTCTCACTGCGGAAATCCTATTTTTTCCCAGTTGAAATCGAAAGCCCGGTAAATGGAAGCCCTATCTCCAATCCCTGATGAAGCTGTTTGGATTCTTTTCATTTATTCATCCGAGTTTCTGAAATGCAGGTGGTGGACCGCCGTTCTCTGTATGTCGCAACTGAGCCGATGACATCTTTAGAACTTTTAACAGCAACATCAGTTATAGGTGCGAACCGTGAAAAGCCGTTTTCCAGAAATCAATATTTATACCCACGGATGGGCCCTCGGTGGAGGTTTTCAAGAAAAGGTTGGAGAAGAAGAGATGGTATGAGGACGCCTGCCTTGGGCAGGGAAGTTAGACTAGAACAGGGGTAGTCAACCTTGGCTCTTTTATGATTCGTGGACTTCAACTCCCAGAATTCCTGAGCCAGCATGGCTCAGCTTGGAAACCTCTCCCTTTCCCCTCAGCATGGCTGGCTCAGGAATTCTGGGAGTTGAAGTCCACGAGTCATAAAAGAGCCAAGGTTGACTACCCCTGGACTAGAAGATCTCCAAAGTCCCTTTCAACCCTATGGTTCTATATAACAGTGATGGCGAACCTTTTAGAGACCGAGTGCCCAAAAACAGGCCCCGTCCCCACCCTGCCCGCTCCGCCCCCACCTCGCCCCCAGCCCGCCCCATCCCACTCCCCGCCACCTGCCTGCAGGGCCACTCACCGCCTCCACAGCCCGCCAGATTGCCCAGGCAGCCCAGCAGCGCCATGACAGCCACACCCTCTGCCTGCGCCTCGCAGAATCAACCGCGCAACAGGGTACGAGGGCGGAGTCTTGTTCCTGCTGCCCAGCTGCCATGTTCTTGGCTGCGCTGCTCCGCATGAGCCGTGCTCGGGGGTGACTCTCCTCCGGTGGGGCTGCTGATGAGGTGGGGGCCGTAGGGGGAGGTGGGGCTGGGGCGACGGCACGCATGCCCACAGAGAGGGCTCTGAGTGCCGCCTCTGGCACATGTGCCATAGGTTCGCCACCACTGCTGATACACAAAGTCAATGGGGAAAAAAAAGAAAACCTTAGCACAAGCCACACACCCCTCCTGTGTCCACACGTACTTTTGATGCTTGCTTGGCTTTTCAGACTACAGTCAATCTTAGAGATTGCTGTTTACAGGTAGTCCTTGACTTACAACAGTTCATTCAGTGACCGTTCGGCGTTACAAAGGCACTGAAAAAAGTGACTGACAACCGTTTTCCACACTGATGACCGTTGCAGCATCCCCGTGGTCACGTGACCAAAATTCGAACGCTTGGCAACTGACTCGTATTTATGACGGTTGCAGTGATCAACCGGGGTCATGTGATCCCCTTTTGACAAGCAAAGTCAATGGGGAAGCCAGATTCCTTTAACCACCCTGTTCTTAACAATTGCCATGGTTCAAGAAAGGTCGTAAACTGGGGCACAGTTCACTTAACAGCTGTCTTGCTTAGCAATGGAAATTTTGGGGCTCAATTGCGGTCAAGGCGAGGATTACCTGTAGTCCCCTATGCTTCTTGCCCAGGTCCTATCCGATCCTAACTGTACCACTCTCATTTTCCTTCATCCATTTCTTTGGGATGACCTCCATGCTGGGCTGGCATCATTTCTGAACACGATCCTTACGCTGAGGTTTGTGTTTTAAATTAGTTTTCTCTCTTTGTGTTAAGCTCTAAGGACTAATCACACCTTGTCCTACAAGGTATCAAATACCTTGTCTTAATCAACTATGTGATTTCTTTTGAGGTTTCACAATTCTGTTTGACCCATGCAGGAATGGTACCACTGAGATTTTGAATTTGCGGCTTCCGCTTTTCGCAATGCTACAAGCAGAGCGTCAGATTTGCATTCATTTTTCTGGCTGGGAACTGCATTGGCTCCATATGAACAGTTGATGGCAGCAATAAACTCAAGATTAGCCTGTCAAGGAAGTCAGCAGCGGCAGTGAAAGCACAGAGAAAATGAATTAAGAGAAGCAGGTATCCAAGGCCTGTGTTATCTTTGCATCTGTACATCAGCTTTATTCCGTTGACAAGAACACGGTAAGGACGTGTCAATGTAGTTGACTCAAAGACTTTGCTTTTTAATCTCCTGGAACCTGTTAAGGAGGCAAGGAATTCAGCATCTACAGAAACTGAGCGGGAAATAGAAAGAGCTACACAATTTTTCTGGGAGAAGCCCCTGGAAATTCCCCACAAAGATGAGATGGCCAGGTTCAGAAGATGCTGTTTCTGGATGAAAGTTATCAGCCCTTTAGACCAGCCTCCCTCTTGAAAGTCCTTCCACAAACAGCTTAATGCACAGAATTTTCCAGATCACTGTTGAGGGGTGATGCTAAGCCTTGCTTTTGTTATTGTTTTTCCACTACCTTTTATGCTAAAAAAACATTACTGTGGACATTAATGTCTGTGGATAGAAATTACTAAGTAAATAAACAATAACCCTCAATGTCATTTGACCAAGAAGAGTAGCAAATTTAGGAAGCTATCCTTTAGGGATTGTAACTGGGACTGGCAAACCCTATTGTTCAGCAAAGCAGTCACTAAGTGATATCACAATTAGGATATCGTCATTATGATCTCTCTGCAGCTTTCCTTTGCTTGGCAGGCCTGAAGGCTGTAAATGTGACAAACGGTCACAAAATTACTGTTCCATCATTGTCGTTAACTGTGAACGGTTGCTAAATAAGGACTACCTTTAATGAGTAATCAATCTTATGAACTTTTGGTCCGGCTGTTACTGTTCTGGCATTTTGTGTTGGACTTCAGCCTTTCCTAGTCGCAATCTAGATGGTTTAGCACCAAAACCTCCTTTTCTGCAAATTCTGGAGGGTGGTGGAGCCCATTTTCTGCTTGTGTTCAGAGAACACAATTTATTTCAATGTTTGCGTGGCTTCTCATTCCTATAACCTACTGGTCTTTGTGGTGGGTTTAAATAAACTAAATGAAACAAAATAATAACTGCACATTTTCACCCTTGAAAGTGGTTTGGGAAACCCTGAAGAATTTTAAGGATTACAATCCATAAGATTAAGGGCGGTGGGGGTGAGTGGCGGCGTTTAAGGATTAGGGTTATGGCGTTAGGTTTTATGGGGTAAGCCACAACAACACCTGTGACTTCATTTGCTTGGGCTGGGGTTGGACTAGAAGACCTCCAAGGTCCCTTCCAACTCTTGCTAGTCTGTATTCTGATTAAACCAGCCTTAACGCCTTTGCATATACAGGTGGTCCTCAACTTACGACAAGCGAGCCCAAAATTTATGTTGCTAAGGGAGACATTTGTTAAATGAGTTTTGCCCCATTGTATGACCTTTCTTGCCACAGCTGTTAAGTGAATCACTGAAATTGTTAAGTCAGTAAACCTGGCTGTTAAGTGAATCTCGCTTCCCCATTGACTTTGCTTGCCAGAAGGTCGCAAAAGGGGATCACACGATCCCGGGACCAATCAAGGGTCATAAAATGGGCCAAGGGTTTCAATTTGTGATCGGGGATGCTGCAACAGTTAGAATAGAACAACAACTTCCTTGTCCCTTTTAAATGTACACCAATTAGCATACATTAAAATGAGATTTCGTTGCGCACAGCTCTCAAACAGTTGTGTGAAAAACGGTCTTAGAAAGCCTCTTTTTTTCAGCCCCTGTAACTTGGGAGTGGTCACTAAATGAGCTGTTGTTAAGTCGAGGACCGCCTGTAGAGAGACAGAGAGGCAGCACCGCTCCTTGGGTTGCGATAGTTTCATACAAACCTCCATTTCCTACACACACACACACACACACACACACACACACACACCCGCCATTCATCAGCGCCCCCAGCAAAGAATATAACTCCAATCATAGAGCCGCAAAGCCGCAACACGGAAAAAGAAGCCCTCACCACGAAGAGAGCCGCGAAAACGCCACCATTTTCCCACGCCAAAGAGACTCAACCTGCCGCCTTCCAGAAGACCCGCCCACTGCCTGGCCCTCACCTAGGGATAGGCCACCTTGGCTCTTTTATGACTCGTGGACTTCAACTCCCAGAATTCCTGAGCCAGCCATGGCTCGGCTTAGAAACCTCTCCCTTTCCCCTCAGCGTGGCCGGCTCAGGAATTCTGGGAGTTGAAGTCCACGAGTCCTAAAAGAGCCAAGGTGGCCGGCAGTGCGTGCGGGCAGAGGCGACGCACGGAGGCAGGGGCGTGGTTTGCGGCGGCCGCCGGCCCCGCCCTCCTTGTGTGTCGCCTCGGCGCTTCATGGTGACGTGACGGTTGCATAGCAATGAGGCCCAGGCGCTTCCGGGGTGAGGGCGACGGCGACGGCGCAGGGGAGTTTCCCGGGCAGTGGCGGCGCTTGTCAGGCCCGAAGCGATGGGAAGCGGCCGCGGCGGCCGCCCCGGCCCATTTTCCTCCTCCTCTTCCTCCTCCTCCTCCTGCTTGCCTTCCTGCCGCCGCCGCTTGAGTCGCGCGGGCCGCGGGGCGCCTCGCTAATGGCCGCCTTCCGCGCCTCAGCCGCCCCGTCGGAGGAGCAGGGTCGCCTCAGCGGCGGCGCCGGCGCCCACGACCGGCCCCAGACGGTGCTGGACGAGTTCACGGCGCCGGCGGAGAAGAGCGTCTTCCTGGAGCGGAGCCGCGGCTGCATCGAGCGGCTCTTCGGGGTGCACTTGGCCTTCTTGGAGGCGGCGAAAAGCGGCGGCTGGGCTCCTCCGGGCCCCGGCGGGGGCAGGATCTGGCTCAGCCTGCTGGGCGAACGGGAGGAAGTGTGCAGCGCCAAGGTAGGCCGGAGGGGGGGCTGGGGGGGGAGCTCCTTGGGGATGAGCCCCTGGAAGGAGGGCGATGTCTGTGGGGCATCTGGGTCATCCAGGCACGGTTGTCCCGTGTAGTGCAGGCAGTCCTCGACTTGCAACCGTTCGCTTAGTGACCGCTCGAAGTTACAGGCCATTTCCCACACTTACGACCGTCGCAGCATCCCCCACCGTCGTCCCGTGAACAAAAGTGGGGTGCCTGGCAGCTGGTTCGTATTTACGACCGTCGCAGCGTGGGGCCGGGGTCACGGGATCTCCTCCTGACAAGCAAAGTCAACGGGGGGGGGGAAGCCCCAGTTTGGCTTAACAACCCTGTTCCTAACCGAACAGCTGCCTTGCTTCACTTAACAAATGTGGCAGGAAAGGTCGTAAACGGGGGCGAGACTCACTCAGCAAATGTCTCGCTTAGCGACAGAAAAGTTGAGCTCAGTTGTGGTCGTAAGTCGAGGACCGCCTGTGGGTTCTCTCGGTTCTGAGTCAAAGGCTTTAACTGTTGTGGATCCTTGATATTTAAGGTGCCAGGCATTGAACTTTGGACATTTTTCCTTTTTCTTTTCTTTTCTCTTGTACTGTACAGTGATGGTAGAACTTGGATATTAGTTAGAATACAGCTGGAAGGGACCTCAGAGGTCTTCTAGTCCAGCCCCCTGCTCAAGCAGGAGAACCTATACCATTTCAGATAAGAGACTGTCTAGCGTCTTGCTAAAAACCTCCGATGATGGGAGCGCCCATGATTCCTGAAGGCAAGCGGTTCCTTTCGACTGTGTATTTTTACACCTGGGAGACAGAAGGGAGAGGGAGGCATAAACAATGTAGAGATAACGGGTGAGCCAGCTGGCAGCTTATCTCCTCAATGCCAGCTTTGTCCAGATGAAAAGAGTCTTGTTTCTCATCCAAGAAGCTTCTTCGGGTCTGACTGAATGATGGGAAACAGAAGGATTATTTGCACTCTGAAATGTTTTCAAGGGGAAAAAAATAACCAAGGACGTCCAGTTGCCTTTTGTAAAGCACCTTTGGAATGAAGGTAGCGATGATTTGAGGGGTTGCCTTTCCCCGGTTCCATCTCCCCATCCCAGCAGGTCCCCGCCTGCTAAGGGGCTGTGTTTGACAGGACTCTGAAGGAGAGCCTTCCCCCCCCCCCCGCACCACTTGGAAGATCATTTCTCTCCCCCATCAAATTGCCCCAACCCAGTGACCTTCCAGAAGGCCTCTCAACACTTAGGTTTTGAATGATAGGATATGCATAGATCAAGGTTGAACTGTGGGATCCTTGGTGCTCTAGTTGGGAGACCAACAATCAAACAGTAAAACAGCACCCCGATCAAGGAACTGTCAACTCAGGCAAATAGGCTAACAGTAAACAACAGCCTAATTAAGCAGCCACAACTCCTACTAACGCTGACAAGGCAAGCTATTTGTATATAAAAAGAGAGCAAACTCCACTCCCTTCTAGCACTGAAGATGTTACCTAGTTGGGTCATGAAACGTTTGCAAGAAAAGAAGCAAACTCAGAGAGCCCTGAGGACCCCACACTTAGTTTTGCCACCAGGCCTGCAAATCCCACAGAAATGTGGAGCCCGTTAAATGGCTGCTTAGTACACAAGGGTTGACGTTAGTAGACGCTCCCCTGCCTGACAGATTTCAGACTGTCTTTAGTTGGTTCTAATGGTTGGATTATGTGGATTTTTTAGCTTTTAGTTGTAATTCTGTTTGCCACCCAGAGTTAGCCGCAAAGGAGGTGGGTTATATAAATTTGGTAAATAAATAAATGTTGGCTGGGTCTGCAATGGCACTTCTTTTAGGAGAATATTTTCGTGTTAACCTTTCCCACCCTCCTCACTCCATCTGGCTTGCATGTGTCTGTGTATCTATGCATGTAAATTCATTTAGGTATCAAGATGTATTTTAATATTTATTTAGGAATAGGTATTAATGCTTTTATGTAAGTTCTGTATGGTTCTAGAAAGCTTTGGAAACCTGTCTTTGGTCTCTGAGGTTGACATTTATCATTTGCCTAAGTCCTCTGTTTTGTTTTGTTGGTTTTATTGTTTATTAGATCGTTTTAGTCTGGGCTGTTTAGCTGATTTAATTTTTTCCCCTGGTTTTGTACATCATCCAGAATCCATTGGAATTAGATAGCCCAAAATCTTAAAATATAATAATACACATACACAAACATGTATAAAAAAGAGCACTCTGTCTAATGAGGAAGGGGGGAGGGATACCCACAGTTGGGCAGTATCAGCCAAAACACAATTCTTCATCAAGTTTCCCTTCTTGAGCAAAGAGTAGATCCAAGTGATGTGCATGAAGGGATGGAAAGGACAGGGGGCTGATCCAAATGACTGCTAGTCTTGAGGGCTGTAATTTACCTCCGAGATTATGGGCAGGAACTGATAAGATCTCACATTTGTGTACCTCAGCAGATTTCACATGTATGCTTCTCTGCAGGTGTGTCCATGACAGATGTCTGCATCAACATGAGGGAGGAAATCTCTCATCTGAAAGATTCTAGGCTTGTGGTGGGTTAATAACCAAGTGATTGTGAGGTGGAAGTCCTTTTACTGAGATGAAACAATCAGTTCAGCTCTTTTGGATTCCAAGATATGGGGTCAATACCATTTGGCTTTCATCGTTGCTGGAAGAACAGCGGTCTTTGAGAAGCTGTATTCTTCCTGCCTTGCAGGAAAAATCTCCCTCTAACCATTCACCAGCCTGACCTTTCTATTGGACACAGAGACAAAACTGGGGCAACTTGTAAACAGAACTTGTTTATTATAACAAAAAAAACCTGAACAAAGAAGTAGAACACCTTGTTGTGATGTTGCTAGCAAATTGAGAGGTAGGGCTCTTTCAGAAAAGACTTATTGCCATGATTTATTATAGGGCTAATCAAGAATGTCCTGTGTCTTGTCTGCTTTTTGCCACTGCAAAAATAGTTCTGAGCAGGCAGGAAGAATAACTCCATTTAGCTTAGTGGTGTCTGCGCAAAACGGTAGTAGTTCCCTGGGTTCTGAATCAAAGACTTAAATGTTATGGATCCTTGATATTTAGGATGCCAGGCATTGAACTTTGGGCAACTTCATTTTTTTTCCCTCCTGCATTGTATAGTGTCTGTAGAACTTGGATATTAGCCGGCTATTTATTTTGCACCTTTTGCATGAGGTAGAGATTGTGAGAGTTTGTGGAGCGGCTGGGAAACAGATGGAAGAGAGGGGAGGCATAAACAATCGAGAGATAACAGGTGAGCCAGTTGGCAGCTTATCTCATCAATGCCAGCTTTGTCCAGATGAAAAGAAATCTGGGGAGACATTTTTCAAATCATTCAAAGAGACTTCTCTTTGTTCACTGAAAATGCTCACTTTAATTTGCCCACCGTAAATGACACTGGGAAAACTTTCTTATTTACCCCAGATTAGCATTAAGGATATTTTACTAAAAATTTCTGTACAGCAGTTTTCCCTTGATCTTTCTTAGCTGTTTGAGGTCTAACGGAGTGTTCAAGACTGCCTCTCATGCATGACCACTTCTTCTTCCTCATGCTCTGGTTAAGTCTTAAATAATATTATTTGTAATTTAAGATTCCACCATGGTTTGAAATAAATGTCTGTTTCAGTGGAAAGAATGCAGCCTTTCTCTAATGGGTATTTCTTAGTAATATAATAAAGAGCATGTCAGGTCTTTTATTTTGGACTTGTGTTAGGGGTTTTCATTTTTGAAATGCCTGTATTAATACAACTGTTTGAGTATAGATTATGGAGTGAGTAGGAGATTACTTTAAAAAAAAATACAGAGCAAAAAAGACTTGAGCTGTTAACTGGTGAACAAAGACATGAAGTGCCTTGTAGGAAAGTACACATCTCTAAGTATAAAAGATGAAAAGAAAGTTACAGACATGGAAATATTGCTTTGTTGTGCCTCTTTCTAAGGCTAAGTGGTAAATTGTAATGGCCATATGATTGATTTCCAGGGGTAGGATCAGAATCCTACCAGTTACGTACAGAAGTTACAGAAGTCGTTTATGTACTTTGAAATCCTTAGCCAGGAGAAAGGAAGAACTCTTAGCATGTGCTTTATAATCATGATTTGACAATTAGTGGGTGCCTGATTTGCTTGTGAAGTACAAAGTGCTGCAGAAGTTTCATTCATCCAGAAACTGGAACTTGCAGCCTGACAACTCAGACTTTGCTCGGTCACACACCGTCCCTCTTAAAAGTCAGAATGAGGACATCCATTTTGGTCCCGTTGCTGATATTATTGCCCGAGAGTTTGAATTTATAATGATTATTATATGATTTGGAGAAATCCCTCTCAGGCTGGCAGTCGGGGAGAGGGCTTTCATAAGTAGATTTCTGCCCCATTTTTGTAACCTTCCAGGAATTCAGAAATATATAAAGAGGTGATCTGTTGGACAGCTCCTATTTTGCTTTTCCCAGCTCATGAATCAACAGCAGTTCGAGCAAAGGATTTGTTCAGCTCAAAGTAGTACAATATTGCATTTTATAAATAGAATTTTAAAGAAAGGGGCTTTCTCCTAGTTGTCATTAATCTAACATTTGAAGGCAGAATTATTCCAGATTCTCCTTTAGGTCTCCTGGCCATTTGTGGCTTCTCCCCTGAAAGTCGGTATTGACTTGGAACTAAAAATAAACTAGGAATCTGTACACAACGTTTTAACTTCACTGTGTTATAATCATTTAGCCAGGTCATCCCACATTTCAAATTAGTTAAAATTTCTGGATATATCATCTTGAAGTATAGTCTCATGAATGGTTTATGGTTGACAATAAGAAACATGAGACTTTTCTTGCTCAAAACTGGATGTTTCCCAATATTCACCTTTCCTGCTGAATAGCCCTTTGAAAATAGGAATAAGCGTGCAAATTAGAAACCTCAAGACTTTTGATATTAATTGGTTGCCCAATTGCATAAGCAGTTGAGCTTACACAATTTTAACTGGGAACTCTTTTATATTTCCAGGGTAAAACCGGAATGTTGCAATACTTATTGCTTCAATTGTATAAATATAAAAGATAATGTCTTTGAAAACTGTAGCCATGATAGAGATGTGAGAACTGTAGCCAGTAGAATCTTCTTCATAATTTTAAGGCCACTATAACTGCTTCTACTGCTGGTACACTGAAGAGATTTTCTTTTACCTCCATATTCTTTACTACTAAAATCTGGGATACAATCAGCTGTATTAAAATGGGATAGGGTGGGCGGGTCATAGGCAGAAACTACTAATAGCGGAACCAGATTTTTCTCTGATGTGAAAACTCAAGTCATTCTTTGCTGTTTCAGAGGAAACGATTTACTTGCAAAAGTAAAAAAAATAAGATATGCATAGAGAATTCTTGGTATTTGGGCTTGGGTTAGGATTGGGCAATGCATCCTAAGCAGAAGGGAAACAAACCGAAAGAGGCACCTTATTTAGAGTTGCAGCGGTGGGTATTTTGGACTGTGAAGAGATTTTCCCATGATGTGTAGTTTAATGAAAAGGAGGATTAGGGGTGACATGATAGCCATGTTGCAGTGTTTGAGAGGCTGCCCCATAGAAGAGGGAGTCAAGCTATTCTCCAAAGCACCTGAAGGCAGGACAAGAAGCAACGGATGGAAACTAATCAAGGAGAGAAGCAACCTAGAACTAAAAAGAAATTTCCTGACAGTGAGAACAATTAAGCAGTGGAGCAGCTTGCCTCCAGTGGTTCTGGGTACTCCATCACTGGAGGTTTCAAGAAGAGACTGGGCAACTGTTTGTCTGAAATGGTATAGGGCCTTCTGCCTGAGCAGGGGGGTTGGACTAGAAGACCTTCAAGTCCCTTCCAACTCTTTATTATTCTGTTCTGTATCATTGTATTATTTTTTAAGCCAACAAGTCACGGGCTCTTTTAAATTTCATTTAAGCTTAATAAATCCAGTAATGCCTTAAATTTGCCTATCTGATCTGATCATCAAAGGACATTCTTTTAAAATTCCCTGTTTCACCCCATTTCTTGAGGTCACTGGGTATGGGCTAGCTAGACTGTGACAGGCTTTCTCTGTGGCAGTCCCACTTTGTGGAATTTCCTATTGGAGGTTCACGCTTTCTGTACCTTGTTAATATTCTGTAAACAAGCCAGGGTTGTACAATATTGTTCCAACAAACCTTTGGGTCCCTTGTCCTGCATGGAGTTTTTCATCCTCTATATTTATTGTTTGGGTTTTTTTTAATGTGAACCTTTATATTTTATTTTGTTGTACACTGCCTAGAGTCTTCTAGGATTAGGGTGGATTAGATGCATTGTAAATAAATTAATAGATAAATGTCAAGACCTCAATATTTAAAGGAAGTTGTCAAAGCAAGAACATCCTATGTTAGCAGAGTTTCATCTGTCAGAACCATGACAGAAGTGTTCTATACTAGAAAATTTACATTCCTTTACGCTTCAGAACAATAAAGAATGTATTGAAATATGTTTACTACCTGGTGCCTGTACAGGCTTTCCATTATGAATCATCACCTTCTCATGATGATTCCAGGTAAAGCCAGATTCCTTCCATTCCTAGCTAGGAAAATGGGAAACCAGCAGGAACTAATGTGCTACTGTAAATATCAATCTATTTTAACACTTGGAAGAAGAGTTGTCGGCTACACAATAGGAGTTTTCATGTTTGAAGTAATCTTTCCCGTATGTTTCCCAACATGTTGGGACGAAAACTATCATCCCTAGCTAGCAGAAACCATGCTGGCTGGGAATAATGCAAGTTACAGTAGGGAAGGGTGTTGTAGATAATTCTGTTGGGAAATTGCATCCAGGTGATTGCTGTATTCCTGAATGGAAATGCCTTGGTTAAGTCATTCATTTCTCATGAAATTCATCATTCCAGGGGATCTAAAAATAGAAAGGTTATCTTGAAATGAAACTAATGAGCCGGTGAGCCAAGCTCATTGGTGACTGAAATCTTGAATTATTCTGTCCCACGAATGCAGAATTGTTAAGAGAGGTTCCATAAACGATATAATAAATGTGATTAACTTGGATTTTTAAACTAATACGGGTCTCTGAAGATTGCGGTCATCTACTTTTCTGGGCTATATTCCCTTACAGACATCTTTGGTTTAACAAACACATCCTTGAGAAAAGAGTCAATTGACAGCAGGGAAGCTACAGATAATCTGTGTATGTTATCACAATGTGCACAGGCCTCCACTGACAGCCCTTCTAGAAAATGAAGAGACTAATTATTTTCTTTGGCGTTCGGCTGAATGAGATGCACACTCTTCAATTAAAGCACCTTGTGTTGTTTGGCTTCATGTATTTGCAGCTACTATAAAAAGATCTCTTTGGGGCACAATTCAATTATCACGATACTACATTTCTTCCTATTTTTCTCCGCACTTGAGTATAAATGTTAGGTAATTCGATCCGGAAAGCTCTTTTATGTTGTTAGAATTCAGCGCAAGGTTAGCACAGAGCAACACACACAAGAAAAGGGGGAAAATTATACTTCAAGGTGCAATAAAACTCTTTCATACGAGATCTGATTGACTCATTGTGCAGAAGTGATTCTCCTTAGATTTCTCACGGAGGTTCACACTTGGCAACATCCTAATTTAAGGATTCTTCTCTTCCCCCGCCCCATTTTGTAAAAATGAAGGCTGATGGTCTTATTAAGGTTGTTTCCACCTGTACTATTTGCTTGCAATCTGCTCTCAGCTCCTCCAGGAGAAAGAGCAATAAAAACAACAATAAGTAATCTTGTTGACAGAGCTTAAGAGTTGTAGCTTTAATAAGGCACAAATTTCGGGAGCTGAACTGTCACCAAATTGCCTTAATTTATGTTTTCTCTTTCTCCCCCCCCTTCCCATTTTTTCCTCTTTTTGTAGGAATATATTAAAGGAATCTGCGAGCCCGAATTGGAAGAGAGGGAATATTATCCCAAAGACATGCACTGTATTTTTGTAGGAGCACAAAACCTCTTCATGAATTGCCTTATCCAGGGCACATCTGCTGACGTTACTATAGCGGAGATCGGGACGCTCAGTATTAAAGGCCGTACCGAGCCTGTTGTCATGGCCAGGAGCCACATTCAGCAGTTTGTGAACCTCTTCGAAAACAACCTCAACGAGCCGACGGTCAGGGAGTCGGAAGTGAAGAAACAGTTCAAGCATCTGGTTGAAGCTCACGCAGATAAATACATGATGGACCTCTTGATCCTGCCAAGCTCGCTGAAGAAAGAGCTGCTGAGTCTCGCACAGCACGAAGGCGGCAAAACAGAAGGCCGAGCTGCAGACCCTGGCCCGTCCGATGGGACGTTAAGACACCCAACTCAGATTCAGAAACTATCTGTAGTAAGCAGCGAGGGCAGAACAGCTCAGGAGGAAGCAAGGAACAACGCAGGTACGCCGGTCTCTGAATTAGCCAAGCAAATGGATACAGTTTTCCCCGAGACGCCAGAAGGACATTTTTTACCTATAAATGGTCTAACGTCTCTCGAGACCTCTGCCTCGAAAGAAAGGCAGTCGTGTAAAAGACGGTCCTCGGATGACGAAGAGAGGCGTCCAAAGAAACAATTTTCTTTTGAAAGCAACCAGGAATGTAAGCAGATGTCTTGCAAAAGACAGGATGACATAGTGGTGATAGACTTGGTCTCGGATACAGACGAGTTCCTTGATACTAAAAACGGTGATGAAATCAGCGAGGAGATGGAGTACAAGATACTGGTAAATTTTTTCAAAAGCATGGGCTACTCTGAGGAAGTTGTAGAAACGGTGATTGCTGAACACGGGCAGTCGGCTGAGCCCTTACTCCTTCTCGAACAAATTGAGAAAAAGAGCAAGACGGGGGCGGAAGAGGAAGGCGAGTCTAGAGCTACGTCCCAGAATACTGAAGCGCAGGCAGAGAAAAATCAAGACGGTCCTGGCAACAGGGTCCACCCGGATCTAGGCCGTCCGTCGGAGTGGCCCCCAAATGCAAACGCCGTCCCTTTTTCTCAAGCGCCCTGCAAAACGGAGGACAAAACCCGTGGATCAGACGCTGAAAATCGAACGGCTCTTTTGGGTAACAAAAAATCGTCGCATAAGGAGCTCAGCAAAGTACGATTGGGTTGTTCAGAACAGGGTGGCAAGGCGAGTGAGGTGGAGAGCGATGGTTTCGTGAACGCCTCTAGTAACACACACGTGGCAACCAGTAAGAAACCCAAAGATCCGATCTTGGTAGCCAGGGGTGGCTGGGAGAGCGCACAGGCAGCAGTTCAGAGAGAAAACTTGGTTCTTCGAGGGTGTTTCAACCCATCACCTGCGACACAGGACCCACCGAAAAATTGCCATCCTGTGCAGCTCGGAGCTCAGCAGTTCCCTCCCCAAAAAACAACGCCCTTTGCAGACCCCACCCCTCCTCTGCAGCCAAGAAGTTTTTATCCAGAAAAGAAGACGGGGGGACTGTACTGTCACCCTGCAGATCCTTCAGTCACCGGGGTCCAGAGGTTTCTAGAGGCTTTGAAAACACCGTACAAGCTGGAACTGAAAAACGAGCCAGGGAGAGCCCACTTAAAATACGTCGTAATAGATGGCAGCAATGTTGCAATTTCGTGAGTATGGGTGATCCTTAGATTTCTAGAAGCATGCAAAGTGAAGAAGGACGCAAAGGGCAGGGAAAGGAAAGGAAAGGAGCACCATAAATGAATTAAAAATATAATGGAAAGGACCTTTTATGCCAGGGGTGTCAAACTCAATTTCATTGAGGGCCGCATCAGCATAGCGGTTGCCCTCGGGGGGGGCAGGGTGGGTGCGGCCTACTGGGTGGGCGTGGATGGAGTGGGTGTGGCCTACTGGGTGGGCATGGCCAGCTCTACATTGTTCGCGTCAAGGGTGCCTGTGGGGGCCTGGGCAGGAGTGGGACAGATCTGAGGGTCTCTGGCAGAAGGGGGTGGGACCGGGGCAAGCGCCAAGGCATGGTCCATTTCTTCATTCCTCACAAAGGGTGACACCTCCCCAGCCTGCACCCAGGGGGCGGGGCCGACACGGCAGGGGCTGGTTCCTCGCTGTTTCCAGACGGCCTTGTGGAGCTAAGACTGAATGCGTTTCAGCATAGATGGCCACCACAAAATTGTACATTGGCTCCCAGGCGGCCAGGGCCGGGGCCAAGGCAGCAGGGGCCGTTCCCTCACTGTTTTCAGGATGGCTTTGCGGGCTACATGAAACCACTTTGCGGGCCGCATCCGGCCCCCGGGCCTTGTGTCTGACATGTCGGTTTTATGCACTCATGTGCCATAGTTGGAATTTCCCATTGGGTTTGTGGGTCTGTTAGCATCCACATCACCTTAAGAACACACCATAATCTCTACAGCTGCAAGTGGCCCATGTTTTCTTGCTTATATTTACATTGTCTGCTGTTTCCTTCCCCTAACTTGTCTCTTGGATGGTCCCCATGATTCATGTTTAAATTAGCATTGGAAAACAGCTTGCAGTGTGGTAACTATTGTTCCAGGTTTGGATCCCATCCACTGACGGTTGAAATAAACAGAAGTTACACAGGAGCGTGTTTGCACTGTTAGGTAACCTTTGTTAGTTTTAGCTGTATTTGCAGAAGAAAACATGATTTGAGGATTTGTGGATTTTTCCCGCCCCCTTTATGTAGAAGGATTACTGCCAGAGCTTTAAATGAAATTGCAGTTCTAAAAATAAAACTCGAAAATTGTGAGACCCAGCGATAGGTAAGACGAGACAGCCCGTGGCCTCTCAGGTTATCATTTCTTTTTCAAAGTATATTAAAGGCCTGCCATGACTGGCCTTCTTACTTGACACAAAGCTCGTAAAATACTTATAGTAGCAGTTATGATTCATGTTAAATTCGAGGTGGATTCCCTCAGATTGAGACTTGGGAGAGAAACCGTACAAATATCGAAGCTGTGTCATACTATGCATCACATTTAATTGTGTTCTTGTTAGAGGAAGTACGCTCTTTAAAGGGTTTTTTTGGTCTTTTGCAACAGTAGCAAGGAAGGTCAGTTTGATTCATATCGTTTGATACATAAATCAGCGGAAATACATTGTGGCTTGCTTTTTTTGCCCCCCAAGTTTAGTTTGCAATTTTCATGTCATTGTTTTGTATACTGTATATGCTACACATAAGTGTGTTTACACAGGCGCACAAATGCATACAGTATATACACACTGAGGTAGCTATTGAAATTCCCAATTTAGGTTTGTTCTCACCCTTATATGGCACTTAAGCAGAGCATCCATTTTTTTTAACCATCTCTGATCTCACTATTTTAAGCACAGGGGAGTATGTGCGTTATCAAAACTTTCAGTGATTGCAAGTGAAATTCGCAATAAATTCATTCTGAAGCCAGCACTCCTCTAGCACCAGGAACAAATGGGTCATTTGTTTCATCTTCTGTACTGCACAGGAAGTCTTGGACTTACCATCAATCATTTAATGACTACTTGAAGTTCAAAAAAAGCTACTTACAGTCCATCCTCAAAGTTAGGACTGCCACACCTTCTCTGCGGTCAGGTGATCTCATTTCAGATGTTTGGCAGCCAGCTCATACTTACAGCCGGTTGAAGCATCCCGCAATCATGTGATTGCACTTTGCAAAGTCCATTGGATAAGCTAGATTTGGATTTATGGCCACGTGATCACCCCAGAGTATTCTAGTGTTGGACCAAGTTTCCAACTTCAGCCTAAACTGCCTCACTGGGCTATGGCATTGATCAGTCTCTCTCAACCTTAGCAATTTTAAGACATGTGTCACGTTGAGTCTCTCTCAACCTTAGCAATTTTAAGACATGTCAACGCTGCAAATACTGTATATTCTTGCTTTGACAACATGTGGACTTCAACTCCCAGAATTCCTCAGCCATCATAGCTTGCTGGGGAAATCTGGGAGTTCAGGTCCATACATTTTAAAGTTGCTGAGGTTGAGAATTACTGTTATAGATTAAAAAAAGAGAGAGAGAGCACTATGATCTTTATTATGGTCACTGGCCAGCAAAACAAATCATGTGGTTATAAGTCCAAATCTAGCTTCTCCGTCTGTAGTTGAACGCACAGGACTCAGAATTTTTTTTATTATTTGTTTGATTAAATTTTATGCCCCCCCCCCCCATCTTTCCTGTGCTATCCTGATTCTCACCATAATCCCTACACCACACTGGCTTGGCATCCATCTGAAATTTGAACCTAGAACCCATTTTAGATCACTTACATCTTGGTTGTTTCTTAGCTTGGCCTCAGGCAAGCTTCTTCCTGTTTTTTTTATTTTATTATTCTGGAGAAGAGCGGAATAAAAGAGGTGGGGAGGATGCATGGCTAGATAGTGACTAACAATTTTTTTGAAGGGAGTCTTCTGTACAAGGAAGGAAATCTAAAGCAGTGTAGTCATGGTTCTGATTTATCTTGGTCTTTCCAGTTTCTAAGCCTGCACTCACTCTTTCGTTGCAAGGAGACAAATTTACAAGAAGGAAATATCTGTAGCGATAACATTCAAGGTTCAAATTATATTGTTAACTGCAAATTATATTGTTAACTGCAAATTATATTGTTAACTGCATTTTGTTTATTTATTAAATTTACCTGCTACCTCTCTCACTGTTACAAGCAACTCTGAGCGGTACGTTCTGACAGCAACACGCGAATGCCATGCCTGACATACTTGTGTGAGATATTCTGGCACAGATATGTTTAATTGCAGTCTTTGAATAAGCGGAATAATTTTGGCATAATCACAGCTTCTATACAGCGGCGGCTGTCAGGGATATACGGTAGCTATTATTCTTTCACTAACATTGGTTTTCCAAGTACAATCTCTGATCAAAGAGGAATCATCGCTTCTGCCTTTTTAAAACTATTTATTCCTTAGTGAGAGCAGCGTGGTGGCCTAGAGGTTAAGCTATCACCTTACGATCAGAAGGCTGTGAGTTCGATCCTAGGTAATGGCAGATATTTCTCTCTCTGGGCGTAATGAGTAATTGTCTGCTGTGAACTCCATGAAGGCATCAGGAAGGGCATCCGGACAGTAAACGCTCGGCTCTAATCAGTTGTCCCAACCCCACCCCAAAGCAAAGGATTGCAGGGTCATTAAAAGGGAAAAAAAAAACCTATTCCTTAGTGCAGTGGTCTTCAAACTTGGTCCTTTTATGACTTGTGGACTTCAACTCCCAGAATTCCTCAGCTGAGGAATTCTGGGAGTTGAAGTCCACAAGTCATAAAAGGGCCAAGTTTGAAGACCCCCCTGCCTTATTGACTCAATTCTGACTGGGCAGAATGAGGGAATGGATAAGGCTTTGGTTTGATTTTGGTTTAGCATGTCTCTTATAACATTTACCCCTCGTGGAAGAATTTGATAGCCGGTTATGACAAATAGAAGATTACGAGGATTGAGAAATAATACTCTTTTCTCTCTCTCTCTCTCTCTCTCTCTCTCTTTTCCGATAGCCACGGTCTGCAAAAATTCTTTTCCTGCCGAGGAATCGCAATTGCTGTCGATTACTTTTGGAAGCATGGCCACCGAAAGATTACAGTTTTTGTCCCACAGTGGCGAACACGGAAAGATTCTAATATCACAGGTAAGGAACAAAAAGAACTACATCCCGGACCTGTGGATTTAAGACAGACTTCTCCAATGTCATACCTTCTCTTTATTGGAATGTCAACTTTCATTTTTCCAATAAGTCCCAAGCTTAGCTAATAAGATGGTTAGATGAACTTAAAGTAAGTCATTGGGCATTATTTATTTATTTATTTATTTATTTTATTTGAATTTGTATACCGCTCTATCTCCCTCACGGGACTCAGGACGGTGGACAAGCAATAATAAAAATCACAATAAATATACTCAAATTTCTATTCTAAAATCAGATTAAATAAAAGGCCTGCTCTAAAATACCCTATATAAGACCTTTACTAAAACATAATTAAAACTACGCCAGGCCGGCCGCCCGGAATACTACCCAAAAGTTCCGAGCCGCCTTCTCCGCGTCCAGGCATCAACATGCATCCAGCCCCCCATCCAGTAAGGTCTCCCGTCCTCGACGGTGTCTCTTCCGAGAGGGGGACCCCCAGCGGTCGGCCGTAACTGACCGGCTGCCGTGGGATTCCTCCGGGAGAGACACCCTCGCCTGACCAGCTTCCCTCCATAATGGTAGAAGGCGGTCTTGCAAATACCTAGGTCCATTGCCATGGAGCGCTTTAAAGGTAGTTACTAACACCATGAAGCGCACCCGGAAGGCCACCGGCAGCCAGTGCAGCTCGCGCAGGAGAGGTGTTACATGGGAGCATCTAGAGGCCCCCAGGATCCCCCGCGCGGCCGCATTTGGTACCTTCCTACCAAAATTAAAAAATATATATCCATTTTATTCTCTTCTTTTCTTTCCCTCCCTTTTTTTCCCCCATAGAGCAGCATTTCTTAACCCAGCTACAAGATGTTGGCATTTTGGCACTTACTCCAGCAAGAGTTGTATGTGGGGCTAGAATTGCCTCTCACGATGACAGGTAAAGAGAGTTATTTCCAGTTCTGACTCTTGGTGGTTTAAAAGAGAAGCTACTCAACTGACTTGTCCTCTAGGAAGGGGGGGGGGGGTCACTAAAAAAGGTATATATTTTTAACATGTGTTGCTTTGTCAGATGATGAATATAGAATAAATGAATTTACTATATTGGATTTTTTTTAAAATAGTTTTTTCCACTAAAATTTTCATAGATCTCTTTCCAGCTATATTAGTTCCCAAAGTGATCACAAAGTAAACCTCCATCACCCCCCCCTTGTTTGTTTTTTTTAAAAAAACTTTAAAATTATCCTGGAAGTGGTGATAAATCACTAGTTTCATGATAGGATATGACCAACGTTTGCCCAGAAACTGCATGTTAATCAGGCCATCAGATTTTATTGAGTGCATTATTATTATTATTATGTTACCAAATAGCTGGGAATCTCTATAAATCTCCATTATTAATATTGGTATCTACACCATTTGTCATTGTTCCAAAGATAGAAGTATGTAATCACATAAACGAAAAAGGAAAGGTAAAACAATAAGAGAAAAATAATGAAGAGACTTCTACAAATTTAATAAATGAATTAAATTTCATGATCATTTTAAATTCTTCGTTATATAAACAATGTAAAAAAAGTTTACGATTATAAAATCTAAATTTTCATTCTTGACTACTATATCCCTTTCTACTTTTTGATGTAGCTCTTTATTCTACTCCTTTAAATGCTTCAATATTTTTTTTTAACAAAAATTTATTCAGCGCCCGGGCACTGATTTTCCCAAATGTGTTGTAGATTTTTGCTGCACCTTGCTGAAAAAACTGGAGGTGTTATTGTTACCAATGATAACTTCAGAGAATTTGTAGACGAATCCCCAACCTGGAGGGAGATTATTCAGAGGAGGTACTTGCCATTTTGATCGCCTTGCTGGTGTGTGTGTGTGTGTGTGTGTATAAATAGTGACCTCTCTATAATATTTCGGTAGCTGCTTTCTTAGCCACCATATGTAATATGGCTCAGCGGTCAAAGACGCTGAGCTTGTCAGCTTGTGGCCTGGATCCAAGGCCCAAGTGCTGCATGACGGAGTGAGCTCCCGTTACTTGCCTCAGCTTCTGTCCACTAGCAATTCAAAAGCACCCAAATGCAAGTAGATAAATAGGTACCACTTTGGTGGGAAGGTAACAGCGTTCTGTGTGCCTCAGCATATACAGTAGTGGCCAAAATTGTGGAAACCTTTTGGGAAAAGTGTACATTTGAGGTTTGATGGCTAATAACACCACTTTTTTTTGGAGTGGTATCATAAAATTATGTATCAATGGAAAGATACTTTAATCAAGAATGTAATGCAACAAAGTTTGTTCAATTATCTGTACTGTATTCTATGAAACGTTATGGCCAAATAACCAGAAAAAGGAAGCACAACTTGCTTAGGTTGATATCAGGTAGCTTTCCTGCATCCGATTGTAGCCAATGAGCGTGAGTGTTTAGAGAGCCAACCGGGTGCCATCTTGTTTTGGCCATGAGCCAATCAGATCACGGTAGGATCCAGTTATTGATGTCCTGTTTTGAAGCTGAGTGGAGGACATTTGTCCATGTGTTATGTGATCGCTATCAAGTTGGTTGGGTTTTTTTGGTGTTCTTTCATTTAGTGAGCTTGCAAAACATAATAAAATGAAAGTAATGGTGCAAAGAGTTGACTGGTTGCCCAGAAAGCGATGTAAAATGGTATTATTCAGTGAACAAGGCTACAGTTATAAAGAAATTAGAAGAAAAATGGTTGGAAACTAACTTAACCAAAGGTGGCATTTCGACTGTACACTTTTCCCAAAAGGTTTCCACCATTTTAGCCGCTGCTGTAGTCGTGCCAGCCACGTAACCATGGAAGTGTTTTTGGTCAACACTGGCTCCCTTAGTTAAAAACAGAGATGAGCACCATCCCCTAAAGTTGGACACAGCTGGAAAAGGGGGAACCTTTTTGCCTTTATCTTCTGTTATTACAATCCTCCCTCTCTTCTGCTGCACCAGGCTTCTGCAGTACACTTTTGCTGGAGACATTTTCATGGTGCCTGATGACCCCCTGGGACGAAATGGACCTGGATTAGACCGTTTTCTTCAGGAGGAAGCTAGTTTCGGGTATGAAGGTTTTAGGGGCTTACCAAGCTCTTTTTTCTTCTCTCACCAAAAGAGGAAACAGAAATTAAAAAAAGAGTCCTGCAGAGAACTGAGAAGATCACGAGATATAGAAAAGACGTGAGCAGCTTAGCACAAGTAGGAGTGGCTCTGCTCTCAGATTTGTTTTATCTTTTGTTCCCATAACTGAATGTACAAGGGGTGGGTATGTTTGCGTCACACACACACACACACAC